AATTATTAGAGAATTGCAAATCAAAACCACAATGAGATATCACTTTATACCTGTTAGAATAGCGATCATCAAAAAGACAAGAGATAACATGCTGGTGAGGATGTGGAGAACAGGGAACCTTGTACACTGCTGATGGTGTGATAAACTGGTACTGCCACTATGAGAAACAGTGTGGGGATCCCTCAAAAAGTTAAAAATAGAACCACCATATGATCCAGTAATTCTACTTCTGAGAATATATGCAAGGGAAATGAAAACAAGATATAGAAAAGATATCTATATTATCATGTTCATAGCAGCATTATTTGTAATAGCCAAGATATAAAACCAACCTAAGTGTCCATTTATGGATAAATGGATAAAGATATTGTGGTACATATATAAATGGAATATTATTCAGCCATAAAAAGAGATGAAATACTGCCATTTGCGACATTGATGGACCTCGAGGTAATCATGCTAAGTGAAATAAGCCAGACAGAAAAAGTTGAAAATCACATGCTATCACTTATATGTGGGACATAAACCTAAAAGCAACAATGAGCAGGACAAACAAACAGACTCATGGACATGGGCTATAGGCTAGTGGTTACCAGAGGGCTATAGACTAGTGATTGGTAGTGGGATGGGAGAGAAGGGGCGAAGTAGATGGGGTAAAGGGGGTTAAATCTAGGGTTTAGGTAGAGGGTGAAGTGGGTAAAGAGGATCAAATATATGGTAGCTGAAGGAAACTGGACTTTGGGTGGTAAACACAGTAGAATACACAGATGTTAAATGATAATGTACACCTTGAGGTGTACTTCAAATGCAAGAAATGAACAAATAAACATGGCTTTGGTTTTTCAAAAAAAAAAAAAAGTTCTCCCAATTTCCCTGTTGTGTTCTATTCTTCACAAATCTGAAATCGGCTTTCCTTTCCTCTCCACATTCCTATGATCAAGAATTTTGTTGCAAAGAAGCTAGGTTTAAATTATTTTTGAAATCCTGAATAACCATAATGATGAAAATACTAATAGCCACTACCATTTACTTTCAATTTCTAATTAAATCTGTTAGAAACATAGTTTACATACCGGATTTTTGTTATAGGTATATGGATCTCCTTCTGCATCACCTCATATAACTGTTTGTTTCTAGTTTAAAAAACAAAGTAACTATTTAGAGGAAATTGAAATCATAGTAATTCTCTATTTTTTCAATCTAGAAAAATAAAAATTGTGATTTTACATAATATTTATAAAATATGCTAAAAAAGTATTAAAGAAACAATAGTATGCTAACTGGAAGTTGATAACATGCTCAAATAAAGAAGAGGCTCACGGTCCTGTACTTTTCACCTTGATATGAAATAGCGCAATTTTTATTTTAGAACTAAATTATATATAACCATTCCTACGTATAAAAATATAAAGCAAGCATCCATTTAATAGATAGCTATTAAGATGACACACCATATATAACACTTAATAGAATTAATCAAATATCAAAATAATCATTTTATAATCACAGAAAATTATATTTTAAACATTTAAATGTTCCATATTCATGACAGCCACATTCTTAATTTTAATAAGACACATGAATAAAGACCCAAAAACCTTTAAAAGTCCAAATTTTGAATCTTTAATTCTTAAGAAATTAGATATTTTTAAAAAATCGTTCAATTTTCAGATATCAAATCTAAGTGATACATATATACAATGGAATTTTACACATATACAATTGTATTGTATATATGTAAAAATATACAATTGTATTGTATATATGTAAAATTCCATTGTATATATGTACCTCAATATCTATTGTACATATATACAATACAATTTTCAATTGGTACTGGTGCTATTTAATATGAAAAAAAATGACAGACCACAGAAATTAGCAATAAGGACAGATTATGTCATATAGCGTTTGAATTAAACTACAGGTAAAAACACTCAGTTAAAACTGAGAAATTTCTAGTTTAGCAGAAATTAATTAAAGGAAATGGCAATACTGTATAGGGCAGGTTTTGGTACCTGAAAGCTATTGATTCCAAAATTGCTCGTACAAGATGGTATTTACTGGTGGAAGCCTTCAAACCCATAAAAGAGGCACAGGCACAGGGGTCATTTACTGGAGCCTAAAGAAAGAGATCATAAGAATATATTAGTATTGTTCTAAATTATATCTATAAACTTGAACATACTATAGAATAAAAATACGACCATGTTAGAAAAAAAGGTGCCTATTAGAGTTAAGTAGTTTTAAAATAAATGATAGCACCCAAATTATGTTAAATATTACAAAAACTTTTTAACAGGACTTAAGCAGGGTTGAGTCACTGATATTGGACTTAGTTGGATCTTCTGTTTGAGTTCATACCAAGAAAAGGGACTGAAGCACAAGGTAACAAATTATTAAAGGCCTAGCTTTACAAATGAGGAAAATGAAAAGCAATTCTAGTATTCCTCCCTTTCTCCAACTATAAAGATTTTACATTAAAGTTGTTTACTATGTAGAGTGGCTTTTTAAGGATATAAATTAGACTTGGGATAAAGAATGATAATATAAACAATGTGTTTTGCAGTATCATAACTTATACCCAATATGTTGTCAGACATTCAAGCTAAATTCTTCTATTTCTTAGTTTAATAGTCTTATTGCATAATATGAGAAATGACCCAACCAAACACTTGTCTTTAAAAGAGTCAAAGTCTTGAGCTAGAAAGTATGTATTCATCAGATGAGATTTGTATTAATTTTCGTATCCCCAGAAATGCAAGACAACCTGGGACAAAAAGATGAGAAACAAATACTCCCACCAGAGCTTCAGTCTCATGGGGAATCAGATAGAACAGTTCCAACACACCTACATAAGGTTATGACAGAGGACACTGTTAGTGCTGTTATGAAATGCATCTTCTTCACTTGGAAAACTTTCTACTACTCCTTCTCCTACTTAATCCTATCCCCCTTCCAAAACTTCGCTCAGCTTCCTCTGGGAAAGATTCTGACCCCAGAAACAAGTTCAGGTCCTCCATTCTGTTTTCATGGAACACTATCTTCCCATTATACCATGCATCACAGTTTATAATCATATATTTGTGTGATTGTTTGTTGAAACTCCATTTAGCAATCAATATGCATTTACTGAATAAATGAATAAACAATTTTTTTCCTAATTACTTAACTGAAGAAATTCTACATTATATCATATCTCTATTATAGCTATGATTTTCCTCCTAAATTTATCTTGACAATTTTCAAGTTCATTAGCATCTTTTGGTGATTCACTCAGCAAAAGCTGATTTATACAGGAAAGCTGGTAGTATAATACTATAAAATATAGTTCAGATTCTGCCAGTTCATTTAGTTTCTAGTAGGCTATGGGTTTTTATTTTTAAATTTTTTTTGGCATAAAAATTACTTCTTCCAATATACCACATAAAATTCTGGTATGAATAGCCTGAAAACACTTTTATGCAAATGGCTATGAACATGATCTACTATTAATAATAAGTCAATTTGAAGGGTACTAAATTCCATAGAAACCTAAAAATCTTGATAGGTTACAATGTCCCTGCATTAGTTAGTCCAAGTGAATCTCTCTTTGGGATGATATGGTAGAGAAAACACTGGGAAGGTTCTTTTCAGGGCCTGGTGATACCTTGCCAGGGTAGACAGCTTCTAGCCATACCTCCAATTTATAATTGCCAATCCCACAGAATGAGCCTCCTAATTAGGAATAGGACTCAGCAAAGTCCTGTTTGACAGCCTAAGCAAAACTAGCAACTCCTGCCCAAGGCACAGAATAATCTGCCCAGCAGGCTTTTGTCACCACTGGAATCTCAGTTTAATTTGCTAGGACTCGAAGGACGATTAATGTGAACATGCCTCTTGTCCTCGTCAACCTAGACCCTAAAAGCACATTCCTCTGGCACCTACTGTGTATATCTGTTATCATAATATTTTACGCTCTACCATGAAATAGTATGGCAGAGTGATTATAATCTGGACTCTGGAGTAAGAACACCTGAATCCTAAAATCAGCTCTGCTGCTCACTAGCTGTGTAAGACTGGGCAAATGATTGAACGGCTCTAAAACTCAAATTTCCTCATCTTCAGAATGGGATGATAAGAGTGTCTTTTACTTTGTTGAGTTACTAAGGAGTAAATGAGATAATACATGTAAAGAATTTAGGGCCGCGCCTAACACATCATAAGAATTCACAGGTTAGCTACCACTACAATTTTTATTTTACTATTATTTCTTACCAAAATCCTTCCCACGCTACTTATTTTCTTCATAACTCTTTCACTGTTGACTTCTGAATGCTTACTTATATTGTAAATAAATTCCCCTAACCCTTAACCAATTCTGAGAAGTTCCCTCCACCTATTCTGTGGTTGCTAATAACAAACCTGGCATTGTGCTGGGCAAATGGCTTCAGCTGTATTTATTCAGAGGCGGTTCCTCAGGCTTCCACACGACAGGGACCAGAAGGACACTGTACCAACCTCCCATGATGCCTATAGGCTACTATGCATCTACTGTTAGCAATCACTTCCCTTCCTCCATGTTTTCTTAGGTCCACATCAACATCATGCTGTCTCTAACTTCCTACTGCTCAGACATCCCAGTCATTCACAGAACACTACTTGCTGCCCACATACCCTTCTAATGAAACTGCTTGAATCCACAGTCCTTCTTGTCTAAAACAGCCATGTCTCATGCTCTAGTCCCACTACTGGCACCACAACTGTAAGGAGTGAGAACAACTGACTCAAAGTCTGTCTGAAGCTTGAAAAAATAAGGCAGTACAATCAGATTCCCTCTCCTGGAAATGTGGACTAGGAAACACTGAGAAAAAGTCCAACAGCAATAAAAGGATGAAACTAAAAGGATGCACAAAGTGGAAGAAGGTTGTGTGTATTTCCAAATTGTGAAGAAGAAAGTATAAAGAAAATAATGACAAGTTTTAAGCAGAAGTTATGAGGAAAAAGGAAACAGAGCAAAACTGGTAAAGAGAAGAGAAAAGCAGACCTACAGAGAAGCAGGAATCACAAAGAACATTGAGAACTGCAAGGTCCATTGCCAACTCCTTTCCAATCTCAGTCTGCAGGAGCATGTGAACAAGTGGCTCCCTTCAGGGATACCTTAAGCAAGCCTGTTTCTCAAAAACCTCAAAACCCTCATTGGAGCATGACTCCTCATCCTCTGAAGACTGGCACTTGGCTCACAGTCCTGTCCATCCTACTACTGCCATCCTAACAATCTCTGATACCTGTCATGGATACTCTACTCTAGTATGCCCCTCCCCAGACCACAAGCTCAGCTAGAGAGAAGCCACATGGCTGCACTGACTGATGCCATCCCATGTACTGCCTGATGCTCCAACCCACCTTTTCTGCCATTTCCTAAAATAGCTGTCCCAGACATTCCCACTCACCTCAAAGTTCCTCCAATGCCCATTTCCCAGCAGATTCCCTTGAGAAACTGAGGCTATTACAAGCCTTTAATATCCTGCCCCAATTATCTAGGCTATAACAATATTCTAAAATTAAAGACAGCATCACAGATACTTGTGTCTCCCTTCCCTCCATTCCCCTATCCCTCGTTTTCTGTAGTTGTTAACATAGGCAGCTTATAGGTGATCATCCCCCCACCCGCCATTCTCCAAACAGTTTAGTATCAACACACTATTGTTTGAATTAATATTCGTTTATCAGTTAAGACTTTCATTTTATATTAGGAAATATTTGGTCTGCAGGCCCCCCTCACCTCTCCCAACCCCAACATATTGCCTGGTTGTGATCATGGCAGGCCAGGGCCATAGTGTAACCAACATGTAATTTAAAACCACATCTGTGATGGTTTTCTCTAATCTTTTGGGCTTTAGCATTACTTTGCTTTTTTATTATATATTTTATATTATTTTTACAGGTGTACGAATTGGTGGAGAAGATGAAGAAATGAAACAGAGAGTTGTCAAGATATAGTCACTACTAAGTCCACCAGCACTTTTTAAAATGGGAAGAATCCATAGTAACCTAACTAAATCTTACCTTTGCTAATAACTATTCATCTAACCTTCCTTCTTAAACCTCAATCAGACAAATATTCTTCATTCTCTGTCCTATCACGGACAGTTGTTTCACATCATCCTGAAGAAAATGCAATGCTATCTCTATATGTAATTTATAAACTTCATGATACAGTCTATAGAAGGAAATTATTACAGGTATTAAAATAATGCTCATTTTAAAAATCTAGTTTGGAAATGTGGTATTTTTAGAGATTTAAAGCATCCTGATGTAATTATTTTTCACCAGCTTCTAAATTTTATTATCCACGCTTCCAAATTTTTGTAAATGATTGCCAGAGTATGGATTGGACTAGAAGAAAGAGAAATCTTTATTTTTTGAAAGGAAAAATATTTAGAGGAGGATTAAAAGAATGGGTATAAGCTTTTTTTTCTTTTTCTTTTTGTTTCTTCTTTTTTTATTTTTAAATTACAGTTGACATTCAATATTATTTTATATTAGTTTCAGGTGTATAGTACAGTGATTAGACATTTATATAATTTACTGATTCCCCTGTTAAGTCTAGTACTCACCTGACACCATATATACTTATTTATATACAGTATTATTGAGTATATTCCCTATGCTGTACTTTATATCACTATTTTGTAACTACCAGTTTGTACTTCTTATTTTTCAATTCTCTTCTTATTTATTTAAATTAGTTTCAAATATACAATACATTGGTTAGATATCTATATAATTCGAAAAATGATCCCCCCAATTGCTCCTTCCCCTGGCCCTCCACCTAGCCATCATATTAATGCTAACTGCATTCCCTATGTCGTGCTCCCTATCCCCATGACCAACTATCAACTACTAATTTGTACTTCTTTAACCCTTCACCCCATTCTCCCAGCCCCCCTAAAACCCCTCCCCTCTGTCCATCACCAAATTCTCCACTATATTTCTGAGTCTATTTTTGATTAGTTTGGTTTTTTTGTTCCTTAGATTCTGCATGTAAGTGAAATCATATGGTATACTAAGCTTTCTTTAAAAAAATGGAAAATTTGTTTACAATAATATACCTGAACAGTTTTTTGACTAAAAAGTGTTTGTAACAGTATGTTACTATTAAAGGCAGTATCATAGATCTTTCAATCAAAAACAAAGTTAAATATTACAAAATCAAGTCTTTTACTGGGTTCACTTTTTGATTAGGCAAAGTTACCAATAATCCATCACAATAAGAAATTCTGATTGTTTAAAAAGGTTAATGTAATTTATAGATAAAGAACTGCAAAACGTGTGAGTCTGGTGTGCGCATACATTCCTTGCCATTATTTTTCGAATTCTCAATGGCACACTTCGCCTAAGTACTAATATATTTCCCCCCACTGGAAAATGGCTATTTTGGGCCATGACAAAGTAATCCTACATCTTATGTAAAGTTCTATGATAAACCTGCCAACTTTTAGTTTCCACAGGAATAGAGTTCTAAGCAGAAGTCAGCTGAATTTGTTCTACTCTCTCATGGACTTCATACTATGTCAAAGCATAGTTTCTCAGCCCTAGAATGTACATTTCACCTTAGTTCTGTTCTGTGTCCAAATTTTCAGGTCGGGGAGTGTCAAATACATAATTTTGGGTGTATATATGAGTAAAGAATTGTTTAATTGACATTAATTTTTTTTAAACATACCTGCAATCCATTAAAAGATGGAACAAAATAAACTCCTTCAGAATCTTTCAAACTTTTGGCCATTTTTTCAGTCTCAGCAGCATCTGTGAAAAGATCTGCAAACACAAAAACAAACAAACAAACAACAACAAAAAAACCCTAAAACAAAACGAAGGGGTTGGGGAGGAACAAACAAAATTATGTTATATGACTAGTATTTATCCGCATCAACATTTATTATAAACATAATATGAAAGGTCACTCACTTAAAAGAGTTAACACAAAGACCAATCTGCTTTAGTACTATCTGGGTTGTTACACTGCATAGGTTTATGAGTCCATGGAAGGGGCAAGAGAGACAGAAGGCCCTCTTAGACTTCGTATGCAGCAGGCCTTTAACCTTTAAAGATATTTGGGGCACTTTAAAAAATTAATTATGTGTACTTTTTGGCATTAAAAAATATATTCCCCTAAAGATAACACTCATTCCAATTTTCTGATGAAAAGGTCATCTACCTATAATAACCAAGAGAATCAACTGAAAAACTACTCCATCTAATAAGGCTCAATAAGGGGCAGTAACAAAGATATATTAAAAGTCAATCTTTAAAAAACAAACACACAAAAAATCAAGATCTAATTTATTTAGTATACTTTTTTTTTTTTTTTACTTAAGTATATAATACACATACAGGAAAATACACTAATCCGAAGTGTATTACCTGTATGAATTTTCACAGTGTGACTACACCCAGATAACCAACACCCAGATTAAGATACAAACATCTTTGTTCAGCATCACACTTGTGAGAGTCATCCATTTTGTTACAAATAGTTGTACTTAATTCATTCTCACCCCTGTATAGTATTCCATTGTGTGACTATATATAATTTATTAAACTATTCTACAGCAGATATGCATATGGGTAGTTTCCAGTTTTGGGCTAATATAAAAAGGCCACTTTGAAAACTTGTGTACCTTCTTTATGGTGAACATATGTACACATTTATATTTGTTATATACAAAGGATGAAATTGCTAGTCCTAGGATCTTCACATTTAGGATTAGTTTTAGCAGATACTGCCAAATCGTTTTCCAAAGTGGTTCTACCAATTTAAGGCTTCTATCAGCAGTAGAAGTTACCCCATATTCTTGCCAATAATTGAAACTATGTTTTTCATTTTAGCTATTTTGGTGGTATTGCATGATGGTTTATTTGGTTGCAATCCTTTTCATTGGCCATTTGTTTGTGAAGTGACTCCTGAATGAGCATGTAAGACTGACAGCATAGATAAGATGAAAAAGCTTAATAATAAATACTGCTGGATTTATGCAGCCTTAATTAAATTGGTTTTATTTTATCATATGTTTTGTTATTCTTATAATAAAGAATTGATTAAAGAAAAGAAGTTTAAGAAACACCTATATTAAAACTGAAGTTGATGATCATTCTTTAATTATAATTTTTATTCATAAAGGCAGTTATCACATCATAAGTCACATTCATTCGGTCAAAATATCCAGATAACACATCAAAATATCTCTAGCACTTCAAAAACTAACATTAAAAAGAAAACAATGGTTTTAAAATCTATACTTATTAAAAATCATTTTCAAATTTCTAAATTTTAAAATCGAGATGTGGAAAATGTACTAGATGGCTGGTTTGAGGAACATTTTCGGTAAGAGATAAAGAAATGGGAGAAAAAATCTAGTTTATTCACTTTCCTAATTGGTTGTTCCATTCTTGCCTGAAGATTCTCTAAATTATCTTCCACTTAAGTTGTTCTCAGATGACCTTATTGATGAAAAGCCTTTTGGAGTAAGTAGACTTCACTCTGTCTCTCCCATTGAATGCAACTAAGAATCCCGGGTGGAAGCTGAGGACTCAGAAGAATAAGCTAGCAGACTGACAGAGGAACTCTAAGTACCACCAAAGTGATGGTGAGTTTCCTGTTTTTTTGTTTAATTTCCTTGATACCTTCTTGCCTAGACTCAGCCTGAAACTTGAAACTTAGGTTTATACACTGGGTGCAAAGATGAAAGGTTTCTGAAGAAACTCTTGTTTCTGGCCTTAGGAACAGGAGTCAAAGTTCTCTACAGAACAGTGAGTGGGGAAATTGCCCTGTTTTATGTTTTTTTAAATTTCTTTCATTCTACCTTAACAAGAGAGGAAGAGGGAGAGAACGGGAGGGCGAGGAGAGAGAAAGAGAGAGAGAGAGAACAGGAACAGAACCTCAGAGAACCGTGGGACAATAGGAAGAAGCCTAATATTTCTGTCACTTAAATTCCAGAAGGAGAGGACTGCAGAAAAAATATTTGAGGAAAAAAAGTCTATGGATGAAAGCTATAAAACTATAGATTCAAGAAGCTCAGCAAATTCCAAAACAGATAAACACAAAGAAATTCATGCGCAGATACATCATAATAAAACTGAAAGCTAAAAACTAAAGTAAAAATAAAGTCTTGAAAGCAGCTAGATTACATCTTGGGGAACAAACATTCTAACGACTGGTTATTTCTCATCAAAACTAGGAAGATCCAAACATCTTTTAAGTACTAAAAGAAAAGAATACTGGTTGTTCCTAAACAACTCAGAAGTCTATATCCAGCAAAAATATCCTTCAGGAATAAAGAAATTCTCCAATGAAGGAGAATTCAGATAATTCCTTGCCAACAGAGATTCTATAACAGAAATGCTAAAAGATATCGATGTGGAAAAAACCCACCCATAACCTAAACCTCACACTTTAGGTAAAAATTAACTGAAAATGGGTTATAAATCTAAATGGAAATATAAACTCTAAACTTATATGTAAATAAGGGAGAAAATTTGTGTGGCTTTGGTGCGGCAAACAGTTCCCAAAGCATAATCCATAAAACAAAAAGTTGATAAATTAAACTTCATCAATTTAAAAACTTTTGTTCTGCAAAGGACACTGTTCAGGAAATGAAAAGATAAGCTCTAATCTAGGAAAAATATCTGCAAATCACTTATTCCAAAAAAGACCTATATACAGAATCATAAAAGAACTCTCAAAACTCGAAAGTAACTACCCAATTTAAAAAAAAAAAAACACAAAAGATTTTAAAAGATACTTCACCAAAGAAGATATACAGATGGCAAATAAACACATGAAAAAATGTTTGACATCATTAGCCATTAGAGAAATGCAAATTAAAAATACAATGAGATAACATTATACACCTATTAAAATGGTTAACATCAAACAACACCAATAACAACAACAACAACAACAACAAAACCCTAATAGTATGAAGCACTAAAGTAACATGAACACACATATTGGGGGTGAGAATGTAAGTACAGCCATTCTGAAAAACAGTTTGGCAGGTTTTTTTTTTTTTTACACAGATAAACCCATACTTATTTGTGTGTACGTGTTTATATGACACATATAGCACTGTGTTTATATTAGCCAGCAATCTCACTCCTACGAAAATGCCCTAGAAAAATTAAATCTTATGCTCACACAAAAACCTGTACATTAAATGTTTATAGTAGCTTTATTCATAATCACCAAAAACTAGAAATTAACAGCTCACATGTCCATCAGTAGAATGAATGTAAAAACTGATTTACACATATAGTAGAAAATCACTGAGCAGTAAAAGAATAAACTATTGATAAATATAAAACCATGGATGAATCTCAAAGGCATTATGCTGAGCAAAAAAAAAAAACGATCTTAACAGATCATATACTCTATGATTATACTTACTGTATAAGACATTATGGAAAAGGTAAAAGTATAGGGATGGAGAAAAGATTAGTTTCCGCCAGAGATTAGAGTGAGTCAGGGATTGAAAATAAAGAAGTGACAAAGGTAATTAGGGAGGATGATGAAAGTATTTAGTACAACAATCACAATCCTAATTGAGATGATGTCTACTCAGTCTATGTAGGTCTTAAAACTAGAACTATACATCAAAAAAGTGAAACGAACACAACCACTATAAATATATATAGTATACAGGTATAAAACAGATGGCTTATGGTGGTAGTTGCACAGATGTATACTTTATCAATGCTCATTGAATACTTTAAAAAGTTGAATTTAGCATCTTGACTTGCAGTCAAGATGGCAGAGTAGGTAAACACTGTGCTTGCCTCATCCCATGACCACCTCAGAATTACAACTAAACTGCAGAAAAACCACTATTGAGAATCACCTGAAGTCTAGCTGAACAGAAGTCCTGTAACTAAGGATAAAAAGAATAAGCCACATAAAGACTGTAGAAGAGGCAGAGATGTAGAATGGGCTGGTCTCACTCCCAGGCTGTAACAAGAGATAAGAAGGACTCAGTAATTTCACTTCTGGGTATATATCCTAAGAAACCCAAAACACTAATTTGAAAAGACATATGCTCTATATCTTCATTGCAGCATTATTTACAATAGCCAAGATATGGAAGCAACATAAGTGTCCATCAGTAAATGAATAAAGAAAAAGTGGTACATATATATAATGAAACACTACTCAGCCATAAAAAAGAATGTAATCTTGCCATCTGCAACAACATGGATGGACCTAGAAGGTGTTGTGCTGAGTGAAATAAGTCAGACAGAGGAAGACAAATACCATATGATTTCACTTATATATGGAATCTAAAATACAAAATAGAAACAAACTTATAGATATAGAGAACATTTTGATGGTTGCCAGATGGGAAGAAGTTTGGGGATATGGGTGAAGGGGTGGAAGGAGGTACAACTTGGTAGGTACAGAACAGTCATGAGGATGTAAAATATAGGATAGGGAATATAATCAATAATGTTGTAATAACTATGTATGGTGTCAGATGGGTACTAGATTTATCAGGGCGGTCACTTTGTAAGTTATATAAGTGTAATCACTATGTATACATCTCAAACTAGTATAATATTGTCTGTCAAGTATAATTGAAAACTAAAAATTGTTTTTTTAATTTTCACAAAAAAAGATAAAAGAAAATATTGTCTTTAACTATAACATGTTGGATACTTGTATCTGAAGTTTTTTAATATTAATGTTGCTTATACATTTTTATATTAATTTAGTCTTATTTTCTGACATTGTAATTGTTTTTGAGCATGTAGAATAAAACAATGCTGAGTTAATAAAAATATAAAAAAGTGAATTTAATTATGTGTAAATTAAACCTCAATAAAATTTATTTAAAATATTTTTTCTCAAAAAGAAGAAAAACTCAACTTCACTCATAGTAAGAGAAATGCCATTTAAAAACTGAGATGTAATTTCTAACCCATTTAAGTTGGCAAAAATTTAAAAGCTTAACAACATATAAGACTTGTACTTTTACTCCCAACTTCTGCAGTTCACCTAAACAGATAATTGGCTTATGGGAAAGACACTATGAGAAAAAAGGCTATGAAGAAACTGTCTTACACACTTTTGGGGGAAATGCAAAAGGAAACCATAACTACAGTGGAGAATTTGGCAACATCTAAAAACTACAATGCATTAATCCTCTGACACAGCAATCTCATTTCTGGGAATTTACTCTTAAGACACACCTCCAAAAACATAAAAATACATATGTACAAGGTAATTCATTGCAGCATTGTCTGTATTTTCAAAATATCGGAAACTACTCAAATGCCCAAATATGGGCTATTGGCTGACTAAACTGTATATATACACATAATGGGGTACCATGCAGCTGTGAAGAAGAATAAAGAAAACCGTTATTTGGTGATGGAAGGAAATTTAACTTTGGGTAGTGAACACACAATGCAATATACAAATGATGTATTATATAATTATACACTTGAAATCTACTTGATTTTATTAACCAATGTCACCTCGATAATTTTAATTTAAAAAAAAAACCTTAAATCGGTTGGTTTAAGAGCAGTTCAAATAAAATAAAACAAAGAGAAGTTTGGCCTGCTACCAGGAGAAAATCCTATTTTTTTATTTGAAAAATACCTCATTTGTATACTTTGCTTTCACCATGTTGGGATCTTTGTTCTATTTCCTTTTGGCTGGAGTATCTTTTCAGGTAATTTCTTCAGAAAGTATATACTGCATGGCCAAGAAATGTCTCTTTTGTACTTAATAAGAATGATATCTTAGCCAGGCGCTGGAATATTGGTTCATCGTTCTTTTTTCTCCGGAATGAGTAGATGTTGTTCCACTTTCCAAATTTTACAACTAACTTCTATGTCAGTCTGTTTTTTCTTTATAAATAAACTGTTCTTCCTGTCTTGAAGCTTTTCTTTATCCTTGGGATTCTGACAATTCATCTACATATGATTGTCTTAGTGAGTGTGTGTGTGTGTGTGTGTGTGTGTTTGTGTGTGTGTGTGTGTGTGTGTGTGTGTGTTTTAATGTGGTAAGCCATTTCAGTATGAAATTCAGGTCTGAGAAGTTTATTTTCAACAATTATCTTTAACTTTTACATTCATATAATTCCATTTCCATAGTTACATTTTTATATTCCAGAAAAGAAACTATTATTCACACATCTTTTTTTCTGATCTTTTTCTATATCTTTTACCTTTTAGTTTTCTTTTCTTTTCTTTTTTTTAATTCTAATTCCTACTTAGGTTTTCAGCAGTCAATTTTATGTTTTTTACATTTTATATATTACAGTTTTTGTTCTTTGAAACTTTTATGTTTTTCAAACATTTCTTTGCAATATTTTCTTTTATTCCATTATGTTTCACTTCTGTTGGTGTTATTTTAATCTTCTGTTTATTCCATTATACCTGTCTCTGTTGGAGCCACCTGCTATACTTAATTGAACTTGGTCACCCTCCTTCCAGGTGCTATATGCTCTTAAATACTTTGTGTTCTCTTTCAGGTCACGCCTATGGGGTTGGCAGACAGTAAAAGTTAATGGAGTGAATGCCCTTGGCTTTAAGGTTTCTCCCCTCTGCCTGGAAGAGGTATAGTTTTAGGCCAAACAGCAGTGACATCCACTGTTAATAGGCTCTCCCCTCTGCCTAGAAGAGGTGTAGTTTTAGGCCAAACAGCAGTGACATCCACTGTTAATAGGCTCTCCCAGGGACAAGCCAAGCCAGCTCTTTCTTTACATGTTGAGGGGATTTTCTCCTGGCTCAGGAGGCTAGATGCCTAGAAAACATCTAGAGAGTCCTACCATCCTCTAGTATTTCCACCAATAACACTCAGGTGGTACCCTCTACACACCCTAGGGCTGCAACAGTCTACTTGAGAACTCGAGGCTTCATTCATGTTTAGGTTCCACTCCTGCTTCAGCAGTGAGCCTTACTCATCTTACTATTTGTCATCCCAGCAGAAAGCAAGAGAGAGGCAGGACCATGAACGAGGCCCTACTCACTAGCAGTAACAAGTAACTATTCACCACCCTCTAGAATTAGTTCATATGTGAGGGAATGTTTATATCATCTCTTCTAATGAGGGAGACTATATCTCTCTTGGGAAGATACCCAGAAAGAAGGAACTAGTTTTCTTTATTTCTAGTAAACAAGAGTCTTGGGTAATTTTCAGTGTGCACTGGACGTCTTATGGGGATTGCCTGGAGCAGGCAGGTAAGATGTGTAGCGATTAAAAGTGGCACTGCTAGGGAAAAAGATGTCCCTTGACTCATGTAAATGGAGGACAGCAGAGATGAGAACTCCCTCAGTTATAGAAAAGAAACAGAGCATTCTTTCAGTGTCTTACTTAGGTTACATTGGGCCTTCTTCACTGGTCCTTTCTGCTTGGACTGTTCCTTAACCAACTGCCTCTCCTACCTGCCTAATCATTCTTATTCTTGCTTCAGGGCTCGGCTGAAATATTACTTCTTTAAAGAAACTTTCTGATTCTTCAGTTAGACAAAACCCTCTCTTTAGAAAGAGATCACTAATCCTACAACTACTTGTATTTCCTGGTGCTTAACATGAGTTAATTCATTTACTATATGTCTTTCCTGCTCAACTGTAACCTCCACAAGGGCAGGGAGTGTCTGTCTGCCTTACTCTCTTGTGTCCTCCTAGCACGTACAGTTCCAGGCACACACTAAGCACTCAATTACTTGTTAACTGAGTAAAAGCTGGAAGACATACAAGTATTTATAAGACTCAGATAACAAAATAGAACAGAGTAAAGGGGAACAGAAATGGACCAAATTAAAAAGAAAAGAGATGATCATGTAGGGACCCAAAATGTTGCAGCTAAAGTAAAAAAAGTGAGAGAGATCTGGCCTATGTGAAAAAGATTAAGAAAACAAATTTAAAAATCAAGATGAAACTGATTTAAAACACTTTTATGCCTGAGTCAGAGTTGTAAAACCCACTAAAGATGTGGAAGGAAGCCACCATTCAGAGTACAGCATGTCACATATAGATATAAAGGCTCATGTCACATATCTTCAAGGAAATGACAGGATTACTCAGGCTCATATATACTGTGTTCCTCCTGAATATAATGTTGTTATTTTTTCAGTACACCCATTAAAGTAAATTCTCAGAATAGAAAGAGATATATTCAAATAAATATCGACTTTTTATATAAATTTCAAACAGATACATACTAGTAATGTTTAGCTGTGCCAATCACTGAAATTTTAATGCAGATAATTCACCTCTGAATTATTTCTCCCTCCAGTTAGATCAACGGTTCTGTCATATAACATACAGGTTGTTCATTATTCACAGTAGCCAAAAGGAGGAAACAACCCAAATGTCCAATGGAAGAATAAATAAATAAATTGTGGTTTATCCATATAATGGAATATTATTCAGCAATACAAAGAAATGAAGTACTGACACATACGACAACACGGGTAAACCTTGAAAAGATTATGCTGAGTGAAAGAAGCCAGTTATAAAAAAACTACATATTATATGATTCCAACCATATGATATGTCCAGAACAGGCAAATACACAGAGACAGAAAGAAGATTACTGGTAGCTTATGGCTGGTGGTGGAATAGGGAGTCACTACCAATGGATATGGGGGTTTCTTTCAGGGGAAACAAAAATGTTCTAAAATGAGATTGTGGTGATGGTTGCACAACCCTGTGAAAATACTTAAAAAAGTGATTGCACATTTTAAATAGGTGAATTATATGGTATGTGAATTATATCTCAATAAAGCTATTGTATAAAAAAGCAAAAAATATTTACACTGGCAACTGTTTTATCTCCTCCTTAATATATAATAGACAATATTCCATGTCAATAAAATATGCAATTACACTGTTATTTGTGACTGTATAATGTTCTACTAAATGAATACACTGACATTTACTTACTTAATGCTTTATTATTAGATAGGAACTTACTTCCAACTTCTGTATTAAATACCCATGTATGTACACATCTTTGCGTACCTGATTATTTTCTTAGGAAACAAAAAATATAACTGTTGGCAAAGGGTATGCACTCTATAAAATGATACATATTGCCTGACTGTCCTTCAGAAAGGCCATACTACTTAACAGTCAACCCAATAGAAAACAGTAACATTTTTTCTCTACATTCCCACCATATCGAGCATATTGAACTAATTAATCTCTGACAATGATAGGTGACAAAATTTTTTAAATGTGTATTTCTTTGATAACTGAATATGAACATTTTAAAAGTTACTGATTATGAACTACCTATACTTCTGTCCTCTGTTCATTTTTTGTCATCTTTAGTTTTTCTGACATATGTTACAAATTGTTCTCATCAATGTGTCTTTTAACTTTACTTATGGCATCTCTCTTCCTATGCATTCTAATATTTTATATACTTAAGTCTATTATTCTTTATGGTATCCTTAACTCCTAGCCTTTACCATCCCAATATCATAAAAATAATATCTTATATTTTCTTCTAGCACATGTCACTTTATTTTATGTTTCATTTAAACAATTCATTCATTCCTTACTGATCTACAGCCCTGTGGCATTCTTGAATTATTTAAGTCTGGCCTGTGAGATCTGTGTAAAAGATGACTTACCTAATTGTTGAGCCCATTTTATGGCAGTACCAGTATCTCCTGCATTGCCTTCAGCTAAGTATACAATCTCTTGCCCAATCTTCCACCCAATTAATGGATAAAAGCCTTAAACAAACAATGTAAGTCATATAATAAATAGAAGATTCATTGCAGAGACGTCTACAATAAAACAACTTGATTAACTGAAAAAATAGCAAAGTGATTCTTAAGTAAGAATGCCCAGGGTCAAATCCCAGTATTCTTTCATTTATTAGCTGTGGTCTTACCAGTTTCTAACATCCTAGCCTCAGTTTCCTTGACTGTAAAATGGTCTACCTCAGAGAGCTCTTGTGAGAATAAACTGAGTTAATACATAAAAAGAACTTAGCATAGTGCCTGGCATCTAATATGAACATACATATTAGTTTTAATTAGCTATAGGCATCTATGTCTCTAGAAACACAGAGATAATATTTTCATTGAGAAATAAAAGGTTATTATAACATTGGTTTACTTGAAAAGTGTCTTATCTCCTCCATTTATCTGTGACTTCTAAACAAAGCTCTTAAACAGAAATGACCTAGCGCAGTAATAAACATTTTCCAGCTCCCATTTTCCCAGTTAGTGAAGATGGACAATACGAAAAAGGTTTTCAAATCCACGTTAAAAACCATGGTTGGGGAACAGAGGCCAGACTAAGAGCCCCCAGCCATCCTAGGTGTAATTAATTATACAATCTAGATATCTTGGTTTGTATGTCCCAGGATTTCCCCCATTAGAGAGAACAAATTCTTAGCAATTGTCATTAAACACTAAATATGCATGGATCACTAGTTGAAACTATCACCTCAAAAAAATTTCACAAAAAGAATAATTTCTAACTAATGAAAGAAATTTTAGAGGCCTAGAAAGATGTTTTAACACATAACATGTATTATAGGTACATTTTGCAAAGCTAACCAAAATATCCCAATCCTTCTAAATTTTTCTATAACATTTCTTATTTTTTATGCTTTTAATTTAAAGATAAAAGGGAAATGAGATTAACTGTCTCTAAGAATAATAATGAAAAATGCAGTTAGCATTAGTATGATGGCTAGGTGAAGGGCCAGGGGAAGGAGGGAGCAATTGGGGGGATCGTTTTATGAACCATATAGATGTCTAATCAATGTACTGTATATTTAAAACTAATTTAAATAAATAAATTTTAAAAAATGCTAGAGAATATCCCTTAATATAAAATAGGAAAATAGTATCATCAAATTTAAATATGCAAAAGGTGATATTTCATTAATAAAGAGAATACATTCTAACTATTTACCTCCAACACTCTGTTGAGGGTTATTTCCAGTATTAATATCCAAAAATGTCCCAGTTCCCATGGTTAATTTCACATCTCCTGTCTGGAAGCAGCACTCTCCAAACATGGCTGATTGCTGGTCGGCGACCTGCCGAAAAGGTTCAAGTGTAAGACCTTTGGGCCCTTGGAAGTGGCCCATTTCACTGTCTCAATATATTCTGATAGTTCAACATTTTCTTCTCTTTTTACCTTTTACTTAAAAAAAAAAAAATCTCAGGAAAGAACAGAAAGTAATTATAGAATAAGAGTCTCTCTAGGACTAATGTCTGGATAACTAATGTGCCTCAGGGATTTTTAGTGGGCAACCTACTTCATGAGTTTTAAGTATCATAGGATTAATCTTAGAAATAAAGGTCAGAATAAAAATTGTGCAGGAAAAAACCCCAAGATTTTTTGTTGATCTTACAAGTGGTTTCATTCAGTAGTAAAATAACTGACCTCACAAATTTCTCTTTTAATAGGAGTGATAGGCATAATTTAAAACTGTACATCTCCCAATCACACATTTTTGTTAAAAGAAAAATTATAACATTTTGTTAATATAGTTAAATCTAGATAGACATACAGCAATACTTTAAGGACCAAAACTTATCTGAAGAACACTTTCTCACTAATCTATAATTCTTCTAGCCATATCTTAATCTAAACCTGAGTCTACCCTTAGATTGAGTAAGACTGATCCTCTCTAAATGACCAGAAATTTGTGACTTAGAAATTAAATTCCCCTTCCCTTCCCTTCTTCTTCCACTTACTGTGGCAACTGTCCATCTAGGGACAGATTGGTCTAGCTATACACACTGCTTATGCAGTTATAGGAAATGGAAAGCGAGGTCTACATAGCCTCACAATCAGGTGGTAAATCACTTGGATTCTCCAAGTTCTGACTCTCTCATCTAGCCAGAGAGAAAGAGTAAGCAAGAAAGAACCTTTAAAAACCAGAAACAGCTCATTTTTCACTCTTCCTACTGGTAGATGCTGGCTAAGGGTTTATAAAATGTAAATATAATTTTCTCCTTTAATTGCCCTATCTACCATTTATGGTTACACACTATTGAATCTAAACTAATCACTGGCCCTATTACTATTTTTTAACTCATAGTATCAAATATATACAAACATACTAAGAATACAATATTTAAAATAAATTTAACACAGTTTTCTGAAAAACAATACACAGAGAAGTCAGAAAAGGTTATCAAGTGCTTCTGTGAAAGAAGAATGGCCCAGCAGTCCCCTTTCCAAAATGTAGAGAGTATTTCTAATTATATCCAGGGTGCTTTAACTTAAAAAGAAAAAAGATACAATTTTATTCTGCATGGATGTTTTGTGTCTCCTATCTAACTCTATTTATATATATTCATTTACTTTATACTATACAAGGAGAAACTCTCAAATTTTTTACTTACCAAGGCCATTATTGGTATAGGCACACCAAATATCTCTTCATCCACTGATCCAAAATTGTAGCTTCAAATAAAATTGATTTAAAAGTACGTTATAGCTCTAGAAATATTAATTATAAAATTCAGCAAACTCTTTTTTTTAGCAAAGGCCAAAATATTATATAATGTATGTTCACAAAGGTACCTCAAACATGTAAAAAAATGCTTTTTCCCCACAGAGGCAAAATGAATTCAGAGACAATTTTGCTGGTTTCTATGTCCAATGTTCATTATTACCTTGTATCCTTCACGGGAGGCAGGAGAGAGAGTGGTATTGAAAGCAGAGAGGTAATGAGCCCACTCCAACACATCTGAGCATAAAAATATGTCATCAGAATCCCAATTAAATTACCTAAAAAGTGATGATTCAAAAAGGAGGAAAAAAAAAAACTTTACCTCATATGGGTCAAAAAGTCCAGTTGTACTGGCATTCGAAAAATCCGTGGCAAATTCAGAACCTAAATTTACATTGGAAATAATCTATTTATTATCAGGTAGTATAAATTAACACCTACCCCTAGTTTATAATGTAGACCTTTTTTTATCTGCAAATTCATTCCAAAATGTATATTCCCAGGGTAAAGTCTCCAAAACAATTTCCCACTTAACCTTTATGAACTTTTATAATTTACTAAAGCACTTTTATACATACGCACTGTCATGCCATAATCCCCAGTTTAAAGATGAAGAAAGTGGTTCAGAGATGCAATGTGATTGCCTATAGTCATACCCAGTTGCAAAGTGGGAGGGAGATTTGGTATTGAACTCAAATTTTAGTAGTCTCGAATTAAGACTGTTCCTTAGTCTTACATTTGAGGTTTCATCACAATCTAAAAATCACCCTCCTCTTCCAACACATCTGAAATTAATCTAAATTTATAGTAACTAGGGTACCAAAGGGCAATATGTCTGGGATATGGAATGGAACAAAAAAGTAACTTCTAGGTAAGTCATTTCTATTAGTTAAACTTCAGTTACTTAAGATAGATCCATCAGATCATCTTTACCTTTTGTGAGTTTATGTAACAACCAGGTATCAACAGTTCCAAAGCAGCAATTTTCTTCTTCAATTGCCTTTTGTACCTTGAAAACACAACACAAAACCAATTCAAAGGGCTAAATTATTAAAGGCAGGATTAAGTGCTAGCCAATAAATACAGTATAATTCCATTTATGATCAAAATTAATATATATATAGAAACAGTTTATGGAATACACCCCAAACAGTTCTAAGCAATTACTATAGGGTATGAAATGTTTTAGTTTTAAGCCAAGCATGTGTTACTTGGTATGAAATGTTTTAGTTTTAAACCAAGCATGTGTAACTTTTGTGATGAAAAATAAAGTCTACACATTTTTTAGTTTAGACATATAAGTATGTCTAAATATAAACAACCTAAAACAGGAGATGGCACATTATGGCCTGCAGGTCAAATCCAGCCCATTGCTTCTTTCTGTACAGAAAGTTAAGAATAGTTTTAAAATGTTTTATGTGTTAAAAAGAACAAGAACAGGAATATTTTGTGACACATGAAAAGTATATGCAATTCAGATTTCGGTGTCTATAAACAAAATTTTAGTGGAACACTGCCATGCTTATTTGTTTATGTATTATCTATGGCTGCTTTCACACTAATGGCATAGTTGTGACAGAAATCTTATGGCTTTTGAAGCCTACAAACCTGGCATTTACAGAAAAAAATTTACCAATCCTTAGTGTAAAGCATGCCAAAGGAAACAAAGGATCAAAACCTCTTTAAACTAGCTAATAGAGAAACTGAAATGCTTGTTAGGATATTATTAACAAACTGGAAAGTAATTGCCCAAATCACACTTTATGACCTTTCCAACTCTTATCTGTCCTTCAGGACTAACATTTCCTGGCTTTGTCCAAACCAGCGCCCTATGGGTATCTTTGTTATAGCCATTATTTCATAGCATCATTACTTCCCTACTAAGCCCTAGATCCTGAAGGGCATTCATTTTTATAACCCACACACCTAGGAGGGTTCCTGGTATATAACAGATGTTAAAAAATGCTTGGTAAATACATCGCTGAGGTAAAAAAAAAAAAAAAAGATTAACAAATGGAGACATCTAAGGATGCATTATATTTTAACAGTAGAATCAATAAAATGAAAATGCATGGCATGAGTTGCAAAAAAAGAGGTCATTTGTACATTATTTATAAGAAGTGTTTTGAAGATTCCATTCAAGTGTTGTACCACTTAAATATGGAGTGCTTAAAGTCATATTATTATTTTCAAACTCTTCTTAAATTTAGAAATTGCGATTCTAAAATTTGTTCCAGATTAGACAAAGATTAATCTTGTACTTCAGTGAGTAGTGCAATGCCTGGCTGGCACTTTTTGTACCATTTGTTCATTCAAAAATATTTGAGAGCCAGGCCCTATGATAAACAATAGGCCCTTGTAAAGCTAGGAGGACACAGGGTAGCTAACAGGGCTTCCTAATGTAGGAGGACCAAGGTCAATCCTCTTTGCATTGGGTTAAGACTCCAAGTGGCTCTATTTTAGGAGTAAGGGTAAACTAGAAGAACAGGCTCTCACAGGAACTACAATTCAGTTTTGAATCATCTCAATAGTTAAAGTGGATCAAGATTAATTCTAGAGCCTAGAAGAAGAGAAGAAACAAACATAAATCCTATCCAGAGCAAGACAGCATTTTAAGGCACTGATAATTTCTACACATGATTTTGCAAATACAATGTCTAGCTCAGATATACGTACGAACATACATGCATACATACATACATACACACATACATACGAATAAGTAACCAGATGCACCAAACTTGTCAAGTTGTATACATTAAACATATACGGCTTTTTGTATGTTAATCGTACCTCAATATATTGGTTTAAAAAATTTAAAAACCAATTTAGTAACCAGGCATATGGAGAAATAAAAGAACATGAAAACAAAAAGAGAAACAGACAGTCCAAGAAGGCTACAGATACTGGAATTAATAGTCATGGCTTAAAATACCATGATAATTATATGAAAAAATATTCTAGAATTAAACAATTAAAAAGTTAATGGATGAGTTTTGACAACACATTAGAAACAACTGAGGACAAAATAATAGAGTTGGAAGATAGGTTAGAAGAAAATACTCAGAATAAATACATAGAGACAAAAGAATGGAAAATATGTAAAATATAGTGAAAGAAAAAGGAAATTTAGCAAGAAGGTCTAATAAACATGTAATTAGATTTTCAGAAGAAAAGATGATAAAGAGAATGGAAGAGAAATCACATTTGAAGATAATGAGAAATTTTCAAAATCAACAAAAGATATCAAGCAACGAATTCAAGATGCCCTACAAACCCCACGTAGTTGCCACACCTAGACGAGAGGTACAGAAAATGTATTTGATAAATTCAGCACCCGCTCATAATAAAAAGTCTTAGCAAACTAGGAAAAGTAGACAATTTCCTTAATTTGATAAAGGCTATCTGAAGAAAACTTATAAATTCATATTAACTTGTGAAATGTTAAAAGCTTTTGTTCCAAGATATGGAATGAGAAAAGGATGTTTTTGGTCATCCCTTCTAGTCAATATAGAGGTCTTTTTCAATGCAAAGAATATAAATAAAAGTAAAGTCATATTTCTACATATGTTATCAGGGAATTAATTACAAATTAAACCAGTGAGATACTACTCCATACCTATCAGAATGGCTAAAATCCAAAACACTGACATCTCATGTTAGCGAGGTTGTGGAGCAACAGGAACCCTCATTCATTGTTAGTAGGAATGCAAAATGGTACAGCCACTTTGGAAGATAGTCTGGCAATTTCTTACAAACCTAAAAATAATCTTACCATATGATCCAGCAATTGTACACCTAGTCATTTACACAAATGAGTTGAAAATTTATGTTCACATAAACAAAACCTGCCCACAAATGTTTATGGCAGCTTTATCCATAATTGCCAAAAATGGGAAGCAAAATATATCCTTGAATAGGTGACTTGATAAACAAACTGTGACACATCCAGACAATAAAATATTAATCGGTGATAAGAAGGAATGAGCTATTAAGTCACAAAAAGACATAGAGAAATCTTTAATGCATATTGCTAAGTGAAAGAAGCCAATCTGAAAAGGGTATATACTGTGTATGATTCCAACAATATGACATTCTGGAAAAGGCAAAAGTATAGAAACAGAAATACATCAGTTGTTACCAGGGGTTCAGGAGTGAGGAGAAAGAGATGAATAAGTGAAGCACAGAGAAATTTTAGGGCAGTGAAATTTTGTGTATGATACTGCAATGGTAGATACATTACATTAATAACACTTAACAATAATGTGTCAATCTTGGTTCATCAGCTGGAACAAATGTATCACATTAATGGAAGAGAAACTGCTGAAAGATGGGAATTCTATGTACTTTCCACTCAATGTTTCTGTAAACCTAAAATTGCTTTAAAAATTAAAATCTACTAATTTTTAATAGACAAAAGATTTATTCTAGGAAATTTTCCATTTTATCTAAGTTATCTAATTTGTTGGCATACACTTGTTCATATTATTGCATAATTATGCTTTTTATTTCCATGAGGCTGAAATTAATGTTCTCTCTCTCATTAATAATTTTAGTTATTTGGGTTATCTCTTTTTTTCTGTCAGTCTAACTAATCTTTTTATACCAACTTCTGATTTTGTTGATTTTTTCAACTGTTTTTCTATTCTCTATTTCATTAATTTTCACTCTAATTTATACTTCCTTCTGCTTGCTTTGGGTTTAGCTTGCTCATCTTTTTCTAGTGTCTAGATTCTTTTTCTAGATTCTTTTTTTAATATGGTCTCCTTCTGTAATATAATCTTGTCATAAATTTCCCTAAACACTGTTAGCTGCATCATATTTTGGTACGTTTAGTTTTCATTTTTATTCATCTCAAGGTATTTTCTACCTTGAGATTTCTTCTTTTACACATTGGCGATTTAAAATTACATTGTTTAATTTCCACATATTTTTGAACTCCCCAAATTTCTTTCTGATACTTATTTTTAATTTCATTCTTTTGTAATCAGAGGAATACTTTGTATGATTTCAGTCCTTCTACATTTATCGAGGCTTGTATTATAGTGTAGCATATGACTTATCTTAAAGAATGTTCCATGTGCATGTAAGAAGAATGTATAGCCCCAAACTAGAGGTAATTCAAATGTACATGGATAAACTATGGTAAAAATCATACATTGAACATTAAATAGCAATGGAAATATAAGGAAATTAATTTACACACAACATACATATATTTCATACATATAATATTAAGCAAGAGGAGTTAAATACCAAAGAATAAACACTGTATGATTCCATTTATACAAAGTTCAAAAATATTCCAGCAAAACTACAGTGTTGAGGAATAAATATATAAATTGTAAAAGTAGAAAGAAAATGTGATATACAGTAACATAGTATCTTGTTCTTCATTCAAGTAGTGTTACACAGATGTCTGCATAATATATCACTGAGTAGGACATTTTTGTTTTATTCACTTTTCTATATGTGCTATGACTCACAATAAAAAGGACTAAAAAAATGAACTGAGTAAAGATTCATTGTCTTCTATCCCAATATGTGGATACCTTCAAAAACTCAAATTACTATCCTTATTCCTTAAATCTTCCCCATAGTTTCTACATGCATGTGCATGCACATACGTGCGCATACACACACACACGCGCGCGCGTGCGCACACACACACACACACACAGACATTTCTTACCTCAACCAGATTCTGTAAAACCCAGGTCAATCTCAAAGAAACATGCTGGGTTGTGAAAGTGAACAAACTGGCTGCTAAAAATCGTTTACTTCTAGTGAAAAAGTGAAGCATTCGGCAGGAACTGTGTATTAGCTGTTTAAAAAAATATTTCAGGAAAACACATTTAATGGTGTTTGACTTTTCAATATTAATTCCATATACATGCAAATAAACCCAATCACAAACAAGTTATTTGACTACTTATTGAGTATTCTCAGGACTTAAGAAAATCAAGTAGGCTTAAGTACTTATAAAAGTCTTTTTTAAATAACTATTTTCTACCTCTTTATTTATTTTTAACTATGGAAGTGAAGGCAAAGAGTCAAGGGAGAAGGCTATATTTCTATTACAAATATATGTTTTAATCAAGTTAGTATTAACACAAAAGGAATTTTC